AATCTTCATTTTTGTCCTTTGTAAGTTTCATGCATTGCTAACATGTATAAAACAGTGAATTCTTTTCACCAAAGATTTTCAATAATATTGACGCTGTTTTGTTAAATGACACTTTTTCTGGAGTATTTAGCAAAATGAAATTCAGATATTTTTCATGTTCAGCAAGATACAATTTTCATAACAGAGCATATACCTTCTTTCCATCTGACCATCCTTGACATTCTTCTCTGAAAATGGCCCCGTACCTTCTGAAGTATGATAGGAATGTAATGTTTTCTTCTGAGATGTAATGAAATTCACTAATTGAGTTAGCAATTGAGTCCAGCAAAAATGAAATTGACACATTGTCTGTTTCTTGCTTTCCCAGGATTGCTTTTATCTGTTCTTGATATTCAGTCTGCTCTCATTGCACTTGTTTTACTAATTGCTGAATAAATATCTTCAATTCTTCCATAGTGTATTATGTTTGTAGCAGTTGTCCTTAACTGGGAAGGAAAGTTTTGGGTTTTTTTCCTAATAGCCATATATCATACAGTGTTGATGTTTATCGACTTCTGCATCATGCTATGAATATTCACAAACTCCACCATTTTTTTCCCATGAATTTTTAATTTTGCCAGTTATTTATGCTAAGCAAGAGGAAACAAAAATTTTTTGTGTGTGTGAATTTGAATTCTCGTCGCCACTGTTATGTCTTCATTACATTGAATGAAGATGACATAATCAAGAAGCAGCATGTCACATGGAGTCTACTTGCTGAAGTAGGTAGTAGGCAGATAAGCTCGTTTACTCCTTCCACTGACAATTCTCGGTGCCCATATTTATGTATTTGGATGAGTCCAAATCCTCTTCTGGAGATGTGTGTTCATCTCCACAACAATACAATATTTACTAAGTTAGACTTTCTCAAAAATCAGTATTTTGAAAATTATTATGAAAATTGTAGTTATTTTTTGTTAAATAGAATTCTGAATATATTTTTATTTAATATTATTCTTCAAAAGCCACTTGAAGCATTTGGGAATAGGTGTTAATATTATATCTCTTGTTAGAAAGAAAACTTTTTGTGGTTTCCAATTAATCAAATTTGTTTAGAAACCATGACAAGTTTATTCCCATGTATATATATATATATATATATATATGAGATAATAACAGATATTTTTATATATCAAGAACAGTATTGGAGAAAATGTATGACAAAGTGGAAAACATTTTCTTGTGACCTGTTTCATCTTTTATTTAATCCAATGTAGTCCTAAAGGACGAAACATGTCACAAGAAAACTTTTTCCACTTTGTCATACATTTTTCCCCATATAATATATATATATATATATATATATATATATATAAACACAGAATAAAAATCCACAGTTACCTCATTCGAATACCTATTTTGACCCACAAGACTTACTTGTAGGCCTTGTCAACTCAGAGATATGAAGAAATAAAATAGGAGCTTAAGTAAGCTTTGTGGATTGAAATAGCTATTTGAATGAGGTCATTTTGGATTTTCATTCTATGTAATTTATCTGTTATAATAAATACATTGAGCTCTTTTTGTGAATCAGTTTTAATATTTTATATTATTAGGATTCCCTTGGATTATTTACCAATGAATTATTACCTGTATATGATAAGATAAAGAACAAATAAGAGGAGAGAAATTCTAAGAGGAGAGAAATTCTGTTGTTCCTGAAACTTTGAATGGACAACTCATCTCTCTATGAATTCAGAATGCCACAAATTATACTAACATTAGTTTAACAAGTTGAATAAACATGAAACATGATTAACCAATGAAAATCAAACAACACAAAAGTAAAAATACCAGAATTTATTTCTTTTTTTTTCCCCACATATCTCATTCTCTGAGGAAGCTTTTATAAAAGTGAAACATGTTAAATTGACAAACATTTCCTATTTGTTCTTTATCTTATCATTCTTATTCATCCAATCCATATTTGATCTATATTTAATCTCAACTCACACACACACACACATATATATATATATATATATATATATATATATATATATATATTGTTATGAACTTAGTATATAGGTGAACCACGGGTTCAAAAAAAAAAGGAAAAGGTGGTATCCTTTCTCAGTATTCACTCAAGGATGGAAGTGACACAAGGGAGTCAGTGAAAAACAGATATAAGACAATGAATTTCAAAATAAAACATTTATTTACAAATACAGAAACAGGTAAAGAAAAGAAAAAAATTTGTCTAACCAAGGGGGAAGGGATCATAAAAGAACAGAACGTACAAGCAAGTACACTGTTGGGGCCACCCACCTTCTCATCAGAATGGACTGATCTCTCTACTACTAATAGGACAGTTCTATAGAGTTCTGGGAGATCAGGTGACCATCACACTTCTGTCTCTTTACCAGAAGATACAGTTGGACTTTATACTCTTTCTGATTGTTACTGACTAATCTGCGTTTGTTTGACTATATATATATATATATATATATATATATAAAGATCAAACCAAGAAATCAACTTATCTGTCTTGATGGGTCAATCAAGTTGATATTTCCACACAGTCCTAATTCGCTGAAGCGAGAGTCCTTATGTGAAAACAATATTTTGTCCACTGGCAATTTTTCTGGAGTCCTTTTCTTTTGGAATGGTCTGAGATATACAACATTGCGTACAGGCGTTCATTGGTCAATTCAATTTAGTAGTAGTCCTTTCATTTTGTATTCGACAGACTTTGCTATCTTCTTTATTCCAATGGGCAGTCCATTTAGATTCAGAACGATTTGCTTGGCGATGTTCATCTGCCATTGGTCAGACAAGAAACTATCTGCTTTTTTTAGATTTTTGATTTTTGCTGTCCCCAAAGTCCATGACATGGGTTTTCCTTCATCCTTGACTGAATACGCAGGAGGATGGGGTGCAAATCACAGTGTGTTTGAGTGGTGGCCAAAGATCCAAGCAACCCTCAATAGGGTCTGATCACATGATCACAGCAGGAGAGCCTGATGGTGCCTGGAGTTAACATGGTCAATCGCCTGATGGTCACATGATTGCTACAAAGTTCACAGGCCCTTGGCTTGAGGGTAAAAGAGAAAGAAAAGACAGAAAGAATTGGAAGAGAAAAGGAAGGGAATGCTAATTGTAGAACATATTCGCTCACAAGTTGAAAGTATTGTATTTTATTTTTATTCATATTTAACTCTTTTTCAAACTAGAATTTGGGTTTGGGGGTGCTTTTTAGCCTTATGCCTATCTTTTTTTTTTTTTTTTTTTAGCATTGTGCCCCAAGCAAGGCGTGAACCACTAGGATGCAGGGGTTGCGGAAGATTTGGAGCGAGAGCAGATAAAGTGATAAGAGAAAGGAAGAGGAGAAGGATAGTGGGTAGATCAAGGTAATTGGAGATGTCGATTGACATTACATTTGAATTTTGAGATTATAGCTATCAGGGAAACAGTAATTGGGAGGGTTTTCCACTGGCGAGAGGTGCAGGTATGAAGGGAGACGGCTATATTTGAAGGTTTCTACGGTGTAAGGGTGAGAGCAGGATGCCTGGAGTCTGGGAACCAGAGGAGAGCAGCTCATCAGAGCAGTTACCATGGAAGTATTTGTAGGTACATCAAGATGCTAGATCAGGGTCAATTAGATTACATATCCTATAAGAACTCTGAGGTAAGCAGAAGGTGCTCCAGCCCATATATGGCAGCAATATCTGGTTGTTTTGTATATTTGAACAGGGAGAAAAATTTCCTGAGTGCGGCACAGAGAGCCAACTTTCCATATCTTGACTCAATGTATTTGTTCCATCTCAGGTCAGCAGTCAGCGTGAGACCCAGCAGACGCAGGGAGTTGCTCTCAGTTGACTATCAGACATTTTAATAGGGGCAGGGAAGGATCTCCATGGTGGTTAATGGAGAGTTTTTTGTATGCTTTTTAATTCTTGACCCAGTTAACAACCCATTGAGGTCCATTTCAAGACACACGGCAAGGTTAGTTTTGTCAGCCGACACTAGACTTGTTTTTGAGGCAGGAGTAAATTGTAGAATCTAGCTAATGAAATTGTAGGTACATCACAATATATATATATATATATATATATTTCAGTGGTCTTTTGAACAGGAGTAGAGGTTTATCTCTTGTTTCTTGTTTAGGATTGGGTTTCTGGTTCCTTCTAAAGGCTTCTCATTCTCTTTCACTCCCAGCAATGCCTTGTGTTGTAGTTGGCATTATCTCCTTGCTTGGGGTGAATTGATTAAAAATATATAAAAGTGGACATTGTGGTCAACACCAAGCACAGACAGTATGTTTCATGTTTGTATGCAATCTTCAGGCCATGTGGGTGACGTTTTGACTTGACTATTTATATATGATGGTCAATGGTGCAGTATGGGTAGCAAGGTCTATTGTATTATCCTAATTAGGTTATTGGGTATCACCTGTTCTTACTGTTATAATTCTGATTGTTCCTTTGTTTGTTAGCATGTATATTATGCCCTGCCAGTACCTTATAATGGACTATTCTATTTTGATCACAAGGAAAGACGGAAAAGACATATCAAAGATGCCGTTTGGTTTCACTGAAAAAAAGAAAGTAAAACAGGAGGTGGTAACATTTTCATGTGTTTTAACATCTGCTTCAGTGAAATAGAAAAACTTGTATATTTCAATTTTTTTTTTCATTTGTACCCCCTTACTTCTTTAAGTAATGACCAGCATTCATATTTATGATTGTTATTGCAATATTTTGTTAAAGTTGTTAAGCTCAGATATTTAATGATGTGATAGGGGAATTTCAACATGTATTTTGCCACAATGAGCTTATTTATTCATTAAATATTATCATACATTGAAAAATTCAAATAGGAAACGATGAAGTTTTTGCAGGTGCTACTAGTATTTCTAAATGTCTGACACCCTGTTGTGTTCCAGATGCAACTGTTATGCTCCAGATGCAACTGTTATTATTCTGCAACATATTTTTTTCTTTTTTTTTTTTTTATTACAGAACCAGCAACGCCTACCTGTCGATTAGAAGGCACCTGGTACAATGAACTTGGGTCTGAAATAATTCTTAGTTATGACAAATCTGGTATAATTAAAGGTAAGTTCAACTAAAATTTGCTTTACTTTTCATTTGTAGCAGCTGTTTGATACATCATCTAATGGTTTACCGATGGATTTCAAAGTAGATAAAAGGTAATCTTTGTTCTTACTTGTAAAATCCTCAATACCCCCAGAATAGTCATTTATGTGACTATTTTTTTCTTTATTCTATTTTGCTCTTCTTATAGTGATCTGGTAAGTTTTATGCTATATTAAGGTCTTTACAAAGTAACTACATTTGGCCAGCTAATCTCATGTATATATACAGGGTGCAATGGGTAAATTGTTGACATTTTATATTTTTAATTTTGCGCATGCATGCTGTTTTTTATTTTGTCGACTGCACAGTATAGTAGGGTCAGTTGCACATTGTCCCCGAGAAAAAGAGCACCATGACGCAATTCAATCCGCCAGAAATTTAGAAACGACATGCTGTACTGCTTGGCATTCATGCCAGAAGCTCCAATACAAACATTTCAGAGTGTTTGGGTGTTAATCTGAGGACAGTACAGAGAATTCAAGAAGTGTTGTATGAGTCTAATGATGATTGCAAAGAGATGGCATCTCGGAAAAGTCACTCATCATTCGGATAAGAAAGGAACTACAGAATATGTTGGTGAGGGCCTTAGACTCAACATGGAGGCCTACATCAAGTGTCTTGAAGAGGTAGTGCTGCCCTGGGTCAAGAGAGTGGCTGCTGGAAGACCATATGTCTGGCAACAGGACTCTGCACCATGCCACACAAGCAGGAGAATAAAGTCATGGCTGTCAGACAATTTCTGCAACTGCATCACCCCTTACATCTGGTGACCTATCTCCCCAGACTGTAACCCCCTTGATTATTATGTGTGGGGTGCAGTTGAATGAGAGATCAACAAAACGCCTTGTAACAATAGAGATGAACTGAAGGCAAGTATTATGACAGAATTCACCAACTTAAACTAGGAGACCGTCCAGAAGAGATGCAGGAGATTCCGAAGTTGTCTGGAGGCTGAGGTTGAAGCCAATGGCAATTTTATTGAATAAATTTATTCTTTAGTATTTCAAGATATTTTTGTGTAATTTTGGTAAATATATCTGTTAAAATGAGATGTCAGTGTTCTTTTCATTTTGGTGTAATTTAGATATAAAGTAGAATAACTACAACACAAAGATGTAGCAATTTAAAATTTGAGCGTTGATTTATCAAAAAACAGCTTCTGATGAGCATTTCAATGTGAAACTCTAGAATTGAACTTTTCTCTCATTGAATATGATAGCTCTAGTTATCTTTTGAGTGCATTTTAGTAAAAGTTCTACTGATAAAAAACAAAAAAATTTTCATAATTTCCACGTCTTTTCTCAGTTATTATTAAATAAATATATAGTATGTGCGATGGGTAAATTGTCGCCATTTTATAATTTTAATTTTGCACATGTGAGCTGTTTGTTTTTAATTTTTGTGGGGCACAGTTGAATGAGAGACCAACAAAACTCCTTGTATCGCAGAAGATGAACTGAAGGCAAGGATTATGTCATCTTTTATATTCCACCAGGAACAAAGCAAGGACTTTTAATGATAGTGTTCTGGTCTTGGAGTTGGAACTGGTTTCTTGTTTTTGTGATGACGACTGCTTTTTATTGAGATGCAAAACCCAATTTTTCTTCACCTGCGATGCAAAGACAAACCCCCAAAATTTAGCATTCCTGGTTAGAAGAGGATTTGAGATGTTCAATAATTGTGTTCGGTTTTCCACAAGAAGCCAAATTCCTCCATTGCAAGCTTTCCCAATTCTCTTGAGATGTTCGTAGGCAAGCTGAACATGACATATTAAGTTCTTGTACATGACCTTTGGTACTTTAACATGGATCCAATTCAATAGTCCCTTTCAAAAGTTCTTGATACAGACTGTCTCTTTTTCTAAGACAAGGCTTCTCAGATCTATTACAATCACCATTTTTAAACCTTTGCAACCACAGCTGACATGTACAAGCTGTCATCATATATGTATATACATTGCATAAATGCTTTGAATGCTTCTGTCACTGTGCTAACTTTTCAGAATTCATACATTAAGTAATGATTTATAAATCCCGATGGGATTAAACTCTGAAATGCATTATAAACAACACTCTACTTGGTAAAATAAACTAATTTGGAATACAGTTTTTTTCCATCCATCCACGGTTCTGCCTTGGTTGGTTGACTCATAATTCGTAGCATTGAAATACATAATTACTTTCTGAACACTCTAATATAAAAAAAAATATACACTATTTACATTATTTGGACTATTGTCCTCATCTTTGGCGCCATATTTATCACAACATTTCAGCCATTGTATGCTCCGGTCTTCTTCAGATCATTGGAATGTCGATATCCATTAAAAAACATGGCACGTGGAACTATAACAGTCTACCCCAGTGAGCGAAATAAAGGGTTCAGTTTGACATTCCAACCACCGGAAGAAGGCCGGAGCGTACAACGGCCGAAACGTAATAAATATGACGACAAAGATGAGGACAATAGTCCGAATAATGTAAATAGTGTACATAATACCTCATCTCAGAAATATAAACAAAAAAAAAAGAATAATAATTCATAGAGACAATGCTTCATCTAAGAAATTCAAGCAGCTATGTCTGTTACTCAAAGTAAACAATATGGCTGAAATGGTAATGGTAATATTAGGCATTTTTTTTTTAATCATTTCACCCCAAGCAAGACAGGAATGACACTAGTACCCAGGGGGTTACAGAAAGTGAAAATGAGAGAAAACACTGCGTATAGGGTTATTGAGGAAATGATAAAAGATGAACAGGATTCAAGATGACACAATAGGGCTATTGATGTTGCCTTTAAAATTTCTGAAGACTGTAGTTTTCTGGGAAGCAAGTAAGATGTAGGAAGTTCCACAAATGGGAAGTCTTAGAAAAGAAACTGTTGGAGTAGAAGTTGCAGTTACAGTTAACTATTTCAACACTAAAAGGGTGAGACCTAGATGCCAGTCTAGTAGCACGCTTAAATTCACTTAGGGTATCAGGGAAACAAGCTCATCAGAGCAGTTGCCATGAAAATATTGGTAGAAAAGACAGAGGGAAGCCATGTCACGTCAATGAGAAAGTGACTGAAGTTGAGATATCAAGTCAGGATCGATTACATTTTGGATCCTTCTTTGGATTTCATCAAGAACCTCGAGTTGACTAGCAGGAGCACCAGACCAGATATGGCAACAGTATTCAATGCACAAGTGAATGGTAGATTTGTAAATGTGCAAGATTGACACTGATGAGATAAAACCTTCTGGCACAGTGGCCCAACTTTCCTTGCAGTAGATGCAGCTATTGATCCAACATAGTTGTTATAGTGATTTTCTAAGCCCGGCTTAGATGTGGCACAAGGCCAAAAGTATGGGGTACCCAGTGAGGATCGAACTCACTACTCAGTCATAATTGATCTAGCAAGACGACCATTATATCACGTCGAGGTGCCCTCCAACGTAGTTGTTATATGGAAACATTTAGTATTCATTGCTAGATTTGATGAAGATTGGTTCTTTCTAGGATTTACAAGATTCTTTCACTTAAAGCCATTTTTAATCATTGACTTCAAACATTTCTGAATGAGTTTTGAGTGACTTCTTTTATCTTTTTCATTTTTACTAAATTTAACAAGCATCAAGGGTCAAAAGGTTACAGTCAAAATGACAATGATGAATAAGATGTGTGATTTGAAGGAAAGAGAATGGAAAAGGCAACATTAGCCATTTCCTTATAAGGAAACATTCAGCATTCCTTAACCAAATATCCAGTTTTACTATTGGTTGAAATTTAATCTCTCTATTAAAACAATTTTTCAGGAAAATAAGTTTCTCAGGCCTTTTAACTTATCACTCTTGATAAGGGTTTTCCTTCTTGTGTTTGAAGTAGTGTGGATGTGGCAGACATGAGACAGAACCTGGGACGAGCACAACTGGTATTTGCTTAGCATGTAAAGCTACTGCAGTTGAAATGAGGGAGAAAAAAAGCACTTGCCGTAATCTGTCCTCGGCCAGATAACGTAAAAGAATGAAGGGGGACTTGCATTGCATTTTTATGCAATAAAGATGCAATGCATTATGGGACAGGGACACAATGGATTATGGGATCTCATGAAGACGCAAGGGATTATGGGTATATGGACAAATATAAAAGCAACTACTTTTTCCCAGTGGGCAGAGTTCTTTGAGTGATGTTCACGGTTGGCGGCTAGAAAAGTCTGTTAGTGCGATTTTGAGACAGAACTCAAGAAGGAACGACTCAAGGTTGAAATACCAGTTGGGAGAGCTTGAATTTACTCGCTGGTTGCTGTTTTCTTTATTTGCCACAGTGGAGTATCAACATTTTGAATGTCATTTTTTTTTAATTTCTTTAGGTTGTGCTATCCATTTTAGTTGTTGCTGCTGTTGTAAGTCCTCAGGTGTTGTGGTTTCTGTTATTTGGTACAGTTCTTTGTTTGTGATACTGTAGCACTAATTCACAAGATCTGATGAAGGACAGTCCTCTCTAAGACAGATTTCCTCAACTTAAAGCCATTTTTAGTCATTGATATGAGAAAGCAGCTGAGAGCTTGGACATTTCTGAATAAGTTGGATGTCATGAATTGAAGTCTAGATCTGACAAGGCTGTTTAAGAATATGATTTGAGTTCTTAGGTTAATGTTTTGGTTTTTTAACATCTTAAGTAAAACTACACCTAGTGCAGCCTATTCTATGTTCAGTTTCTTGATCTCTTATAATGAATTTGTTATATTTGATAACAGAATGCTTTTAACGAAGCCTTCATCAAATGATGTTACCGGAGATTTTATGATTTTAGGGTTGAAGCAGTATCACTAAACCAGGGTTTTCCAGCACTATCTTATAGTAACACCTTTTAGTGATACAGAAGGCAATTATATCCCTTTCATGGAGATAAGTCACATGGTTCATGTGATGGCCGCTTAGTGATGTTGCTTCAGATAGTGATGAGAGTGGTCAGTCATTCAGTTTGTTTACAGCAGACATACCTACACGTTGCGTTTTTTTTAGACTGAGCCAAGGGACTTCAGCTGAGGTTAAATCTGCCTTCCCCAGCAACTTACAAGCACATAGTACTGTTTCCTTTGGGAATATATCTTCTCCAGATATAGAAAGAACCTCTGCCCACTTGCTGTGTAGATATTATATATTTTATTTTTATGTTATTTATATAGGCACAAATATTTAAGTAAATGCTCTGTTTATAATAAACAGTATTAACAACATTTACTGGCCTGAATGTCTGAGAAATTTTCATAGAAAATATGTGTCCTCTGACAGGAATCAAACCTGTATCCTACACGGAACTGTCATATAACCTAACATGCTATACCAGTTTAGCTACAGAGGTTAGCAAGGTCGATTTTACTGCTTTTAAACTACAATTTTCCATGATTTCCCTCAAACGATTATATCTGCTTGAAGCGTATCTAAACATAAACAAATGACATGACACACTATGAAATGGACAAAATTCCACCAATTATTTTAAGATATTTTATTGTTATACATTTTTTATATAGACACAAATATGATATGATCATTAGAGGGAAATCATGGAAAACTGTAAAATCAGTAAAATCAACCTTGTTAACCAGATGCTCCTCTGTAGCTAAACTGGTATAGCACATCAGGCTATATGACAATTCCCTGTAGTATATAGGTTCGATTCCTGTTGGAGGACACATATTTTCTATGAAAATTTCTCAGACATTCAGGCCAGTAAATGTTAAAATACTGTTTATTATAAACAGAGGATTTACTTAAATATTTATGTCTACATAAATAACATATAACAGTAAAATAATTGTTGGACTTTGTCAATTTTGTAGTATATTATATATTGTTCTCCGTGTGAAACGTGTATATATATATATATATATATATATATATTTGGTATAAAAGTCGTTGAGAATAAAGCATTTTTGTTATTCCTTTTCCTTTTGGCCATTCCATTCCATCTGTGAAATACTGTGTTATTATATCGTGGGCATAATAACAGGAGAAATATAAATATGAGAATAAACTTTTCTTCTATAGTTCTCTTCTATTGTAACCTGATTTGTTGATTTATATTTTAATGGCTTTGAATATGATTGCCACAACTGAATGGACGATGTTTTGGGACCAGTTTTTAATATGCTTCCTTTTATCCAAGTTTTCAAGCTTATGAAAATCTAGATTTTCAAGATTAAGTAACTAGAAAACTCTTGAATTAAGCAGAAGAGATTCTATTGGTTCAAGGGAAGCAACTCTAAAATAACATTTACAAAGCTAACGATATAGTGATTTTCCAAGCATAGCTCAGATGTGGCACAAGGCCGAAAGTATGTGGCACCTAGTGAGGATCAAACTCACTACTCGGTCATAATTGTATTAGCGAGACAAGCTTGCTAACCATTACACCACCGTGAGGTGCCCAAGGTAAATGATATAAAGGGTGTACCAATAACTTGGACCAATTTTAAATGTGAATTAAGTTTAAGCATCTAACGATTTTTTTCTTTTTCTCTTTCAGATTTAACAACTTAGGTCTTTGGCATTTTCAACCATGGAAAGATTAACAATCAAACAACGTATTAAAGTCACTGAAGCCTATTATGAAAATGAACATTCAAACAGAAATGCATTTTGTGGACTTTGTGAGACTTTTGGTCAACATAATCGACCAACCGAGAGTGCAATTGGAAACGATGTAACGTTGTTGTGGAGAGGTTCAATTCCTGCACGCGATGACGAATAGAGGGGGTCTGGATTTTTGGCCACTGTGCACTGCAGCAATGTTTTCAGCTGAACGGCGTAAACGAGCACACCATGGTGTTTTCACATCTGCCACCAACCTAGTTTGTTTGAATTTACGAACAATTTTTCTAATTGCACTCTTGAAACTTTAACACGTTGTTTGATTGTTAATCTTTCCATGATTGAAATTGCCAAAGACTTAAGTTGCTAAATCTGAGAAAAAATTATCAGAGGCTTAAACTTAATTCACATTTAAAATAAGTCCAAGTAATTGAAAAACTCTTTATATATTATCCACAACAAAATTTAATGGATATATTTGAATTTTTACGCGATGATTCTTTTAGAAAATAAACTAAAACATGAAATATAGTTACATTGTCGTATTTTACTTGGGCTAAATATGTCAAAATCACTTTTAATTTATACTTGAGTCTATAGATGAATATTGGTCTTTTAATGTATATGAGATCTGAGTACTTCTTTAAATTCTGTTTGAACGATCATTTTTAGCTGAATACTTATATGAAATTATCGTTCTGTATATTTTTTAGTCTATGGAATTATCGCTAAATTAAGTGCATTGCCAAGGAAGAAATTCTTTTGACAAATATATCTGTGTAAAACAAAGATTTTTTAAAAATCAATGAACTATTAATTTATTGATGCAACTATGTACAAAGAAAATGTACCAATGTTTAACTATCATGCCTGCAAAAAAGGTTGTTATTCCCTTAACTCAACTATTATTACACTTTTGACTCCCTCGACAATGTTTCTTTTTTTTTTATTAAGTTCACCCCAAGCAAGGCAGTAAAGCCATTGAGACACAAGAAGTTACTGTGTGTGGAAGAGTTAGAAACAGGAACTTTGCTAAGGAGTGAGAACTTAGGAAGAACAATAAAATGTTATCAGGGGGACAGCAGAGAGCAATTGACATTGCATTTAAATTTTTGGAGATTAAAGTTAGCTGGAAAGCAAGGAGGCGGAAGGGAGTTCTACAAGTGAGAAGTGTAAGAAAAGAAATTATTAGCATAGAATTTACAGTTACATCGAGCCAACTCAACTGTAAATTGGGGAGACCACATCCAGTGAATTTACACGATTATAAAAATATTTGAACTAAATATAATGTAATATTATTTACCTTTTATAAAGAAATAAATTTGAAAAGAAATATTTTTATTGAAAGAAATTATAAACCATTACAAAATTCACAAAATATGTAAATGGAAGAGATTCTCTCAACCTACTTTCAGAAAAATGGATTTTTTAAAAATTTATAATTAGAATCAATCATTGCAGGCATTTTTATAAATTTATGAATAAAATAATTTATTTCTTTATAAAATGGTAAATAATAAATATTTCATTATAGTTGGTTCACATGTTTTATTAGAATTCTAATCATCGCTTATTTTAAACAAACATTTCCAAGAGAGTCAAAACTAAAGTGTACAGTAATATAACCGTCTTTTTGACTCCATTTTCTTTTTTTTTGCATCATTTTGCCGAAAATGTCATTGTACAGGGGAGTTAACTCTGTCGTTAGCTTCTGCAAGAAGTTCTATTTAGTAAAAATAATGGTTCATCCCGTGAAAACCAAAATCACTTGAGTGGATTTTCAAGATGGGGCTATCATAGTTTTTTTTACATAATCTTCATTGGTCAAAGTTATTTTCCAAAATAATTTTGTTTTATACAATATTTTTTTTCTAAATATTTTTCCCACTGGAAATGTACTTGAACACCAGTGTCAATCAGAGAAAATGTCATTTGAATATTTTGTGCCAGGCACAGCACTGCAAAATAGAACTTTCTGTTACATCTAGCCATTTCAACACTGAAATGTTGAGAACTAAGACGCAATGGGTTACCAAGTGTTAGAGAATGTGAGAAAAACTACTATTAACGAGAGAGGACAATAAAAGAACAAGAATTCAGAAGACAGAAGATAACAACTAATATTGCACTTAAATTTTTGAAGATCAAAGATGACTGGGAAATAAGAAGCTGGAAAAGTGAGAAGAAACTGTTAGCATAGAACTTATATTTACATCTATCCATTTTAACTCTGAAATGATGATACCATTCTGCAAATATAGTAATGCACTTAAATTCATTAAGTCTTGGTACCATAGAGAAAACTTCATCAGAATACTTACCATAAAAGTATATCTAGTAAAGACACAGGGAGGTGGGAAATATACTGAAACTAAGATGCCAGATCAGGACCAATAACATTACAGTTTCTTCTTTGGATTTTATCAAGAATCTCTAAATACATAGCAGGAGCACCAGACCAAATGTGGTAACATTATTGAAAGCAAGTATGAATGGTAATCTTATAAATATGTAAGATAGATTTTGGTGAGAAAAATTGTCTAGCATGACATGGTGAAACAACTTTTTTAGCAGCTGACTTAGCATTTGATTAAATCTACTCTTTCCATTTCATGTCAGCTGAAAACATTAGTCCAAGAAGGTGCAATGAGTTACTCACCTCGAGGTTAGCATCAGCCATGCTCATGGAAGGTAAAAAGAGTTCTCTCAAACGATTAAAAGAGAGCAGTTTTGTTTTTGAGACATTAAAATTAAGCCACTCCTTGCCCCATTTAACAACAGTTTATAGGCTATGTTTAAGATCAGATGTCAATTTGACCTTATCAAATTGATCAGACTTGCTAGTAAGGCAGAAGTAAATAGTTGTGTATAAGTATAGATACTGAGTCAAGAACCGATGACATCAGTTTCTTGCAAAATTTCCAAAATCTGAATGTGCATATCTGCTACAACAATTTTAAGAATTTGCCAAAACCTATCCTTATTTTTCAATTTTTCCATATTAAATTAAAATCATTTTTTAATAACTTTATTTTTGATAGTGTTAGAGAAAGAATTTGTCTTATAAAGAGAGAGAATTTGACATTATCAGATACTTATGTTTTTTGTTTCATCTCAGGTGAATACCGTACTGCTGTGGAACGTCAAGAAGGAACTGCAGGCAATACACACTCACTGATTTATGGAATTGGTAATTATCATGAACCCAATACCACTTTTGGATTTCATGTAGTGTGGAGAAAAGGAGCCTCTGTCACAGGATTTGTAGGTAAGTTACTTTTTACTCTTGAACACAGAATTGAAAAGATTTTAAAAACTTTCAAAGGAAAAAAAAAATGAAAAGAATTCTTGAGAGTGGATCAAAAAGGCTTTATAAAATTTTATATATATTATATAACTTATGCTGTTTTCAATAACAGTACTCAGTATTAGAAATTGAACCATGATTGTGTAAAATATGAACTGACACTTAAAATCACTCATAAAGCATTTAAAATTCCAGTCATAGCAGGCTTACTGGTACTACTGTCAGTTTCATGTAAGCTCAATCTTTAGTGTGCTTGAAGACCAGAAATTTTGAATTTTTCTACAAGTGATTTTAAGCCTCAGTTTACATCTCAATCACTGTTTCACCTTATATATATATATATATATATATATATATATATATATATATATATATAAATATATAAAGTGAGACATTGCTCCTCCAACAAAAAAATTCTTAAATTGCCATGTTAGTAAAAAACACCCTCACTTAAATTTTCAAAAATTCAATCTTAGCATTGCGACTGCATGCTCCACAAGTTTGTTTCTGTTATCAATAACACATTTAAAAAAAAGACATATTTCAATTTGCATTATATTTTTTCAACTTGTATGCTACCTGAATTTTACCAAAAAGAAAATAGTTTCCATACCTGAGGATGACAGGAGGACCCATCGAAAGTACTTACATATTTAAGGAAGAACTAATACTGTTTAAAATTTTAAAAAACAAGGATCATAAAATTCATAATGGTTCGTGGGTTAAAGCATTTTTAAAATTTAGTTAGCGAAGTGAATTCACCACTTTATATCATTAACTTTACTAATTTATAATAATAATTTGTATGAATGAATCATTTTAATGTATATATATGCATTTAATGTATATATATGCATTTAATGTATATATATGCATTTAATGTATATATGTCATCCACAGACAGACTGTTTCGATGTATCACAGCTCCTCAATGTGGCTAGACATCTGATTGCTTCAAGTCAGGATTGAAACTCAACTGATTTGTCATCAGTCAGATTTCTTACTCCTAGGCTATCATTGCATGGCAGAAAGTAAAGAAAATTCTAACGTTTTTCTCTATATGAAATAGGTCAGCAGCTTGGAGAACTCAGCACTTGAAGAGTAATGCTTAATAGCGGTAGGAGTTATTTTTAGAACCCTCTTTCCCTAGAGTGCTCAACCGGATTTCCACAATAATAATGTTTGAAATAATGAAAATATTGGATTAGAAATAAATCCATTAATTCTTTAGAAATTGCTTTGTTTATGTTTCAAATACAAAACTAAGCAGATATGGGCTTTCAAAAAAATATCTGCATGACAAAGTGAAAATAGAGCCTTGCTGAACTGTGATGCTCTGTAAAACATGCTGGATCAAATGGTGGTTTCTTCTATGAAGTGCAGATACAGGTTCAATCCCTGTTGGAGAGAGCATTTTTTTTTATTTATTAGGATTTCTTGAATGTGCAGGCTGATAGATGTGATACACACTGTTTAAAATAAAAGTAAAAATGGGGCATCTATTTCAAATATGAGCACACACATATATGTATGTATATAGTATTTTTTACATTCCTTCTATACATTTTTAGTGCTTATTTAAGAATTAATTTAAAATAAATAATTAAAATTAAATTATATTAGCAAATAAATCCTTCAATAATGTTTTTTTCCATTGTATATAATTAGGTATTTTTCAAATACGTGACGGAATTGTTGCAGAGGTACCCAACGAAGCTCCGCCGTATAACTAGCCCGCTTGGATGGGTTTTATTTTTCAAATACGTACGTATCTCTAGAAAATTCAATGACGATAAAAAGGACAAAAAAAATCTAGTAATACCTTCTATGAAACAATTAGAAATAAATATGCGCAGAGTTATCCCCCTTAGATTAATCTATTTTCGAGCGGAAGTCGTGTCATATTTTTTCCCGCAATGAAATCCAAATTGGCAACAGAATGCAAATTTGAGCTGAAGTTACCTCTGTTCACTTTGCGCAATCAACCTTGAAAAGAAATGTCTTGTTCCTAGCATGCCACAATAGTTTAAAGGGAAGAGTATGAGTGGATCAATTATAACAAATTTGTGCCTTATAGGTACCTCCATGAGATCGCTAAAAAAGAGCATAGCATGATGAAAAAGACGCCAAACTTGACGAAAACAAATTTTTATCGTCTAAATGTTTATGTTACTATTAAGAGGAAAGATCAAAGTATTTTGGGTATTTTTTTACATTTTAAATCGTTCCTAGCACGTCCGAAATTTTTGTTAAATATCTTGTTTTTTTTTTTTCAAATCAGCAAAATTGACAGATAATCGATCATGTCAAACATTTTCTTCTATTTTATAAAAAAAAAATGAAAATCTCAGTTTGAAATTCTTTTAAAAATCAATTACAATTTTTTCAAAACTTATTTTAAGAAAATCAGAAATTATAATATTTATTTAAAATATTTTGAACCAAGCTTAACTTAGTGTCAAAAAGATGTAGCCTGAAAATAAAACAAAGCAGGTCATAACCTTTTGCATCACTTGACAGGTGACAAGACATTTTCATGAGGTATTGATAGGTTATGTGAGGATAATTTATTCTACAGAAGGAGAGAAATGAAATTATTTAGATTTAAGTGAACAAATTATTTACCTCGTTATTTTTAAGGAAAACCTTCAGTACTCTATTTTTTTTTTGTACTTAGCTTTCACCTTTATGTTTACGACGCTTTATGGAAAATATATTGTAAAGAAATTAAAATAAGACTGTTAAGAGAGATTAAATTTCATAAAAGTATCTAATTAATTTATATAGGTACCTTTCTTATGAAATTTTATCAGAAGTGTACATAAAATACTATAATTTTATGTACATTTATTACATTTGACTGTGTTATATTTCTATTTCCATTCATTTTATTAGTAATTTTGATATTTCATTTATGGAAAAATGTCGTAACTGAGATTAATATAAAAATAAGATCATATAAATTTCATAAGATGATACTGATACTTGTAGATACCTTTCTCAGTTGAAAGAGAAAAATCAAATTAACTTCTCCACATGTGTTTTGCAAAAGTAAAGGCCTTAACAGCGGAGAACAATGCTTAACTCAAATAATGCAACTTAATTGCATTCTGGTTGGTTTTCCATACTTTATAATTACAGCCCGATTATAAACACAAAATTACATTTCTTAATTACTGCGGGTCTTCTGATTAGTCAAAACAATACAATTTACAATGTGGTAAAAAAAGATCTATCCCATTTACGAAACTGGATGCGGCTTTTAACTAATTTTATATTTTAACAACTTAAATGTAAACATTGATTATAATTTAAGAAATAACAAATAATTATATTAAAAATTCATTTTTCATTGAAAAAATTTTTTGCTTTCAGAAAATATTGTCCATATTCATAAAAACAACTAAAAGCACATAAAAGCATTTGAAATTAAATAATATCTTTGTTTTATTGAGTTTTGTATGTTACAATTCAGAGCTGATTTTCAGGTAGGGGGTGGGGTCCAATTAAAAAATAACATGATTTGCATTCCTCAAAGCCTTGTGCTTTTAACTATTGTAATCACTAAACTGTATTCAATCGAATTTCTAGAGTTTTCATAAAATTAGTTATGTGGGGGCAATAAATATAAAAAAAAAAAAATATTCCTGCCATGACTTTAATAAAAAAAAAAACATATTTATAATAATTTCCATCATCTGTGAATAGTTTCTGAAAGTTCCATTAACATTTAACAATTATTTTTATTTTTGCAAGATTTTCCAAATTAATGTCTGTCATACAAAAAAAAAGTGTTTAAAAATTGTATACGTTATTTTACTAGTTCTGGTGATACAAAGAGAAACAAGGTTTTTTCTAATCAAAATTTAGAATGTTCAAAAAAGAAGGAAAAGTTTTAAAAAATAATTAAAAAAAAAAAAACTTTGGTCTTTCCTCTTAATAATAACATAAACATTTAGACGATAAAATTTTGTTTTTGTCAAGTTTGGCATCTTTTTCATCATGCTATGCTCTTTTTTTTTAGCGATCTCATATAAATAATTCCATAATTGTTCTGATGAACTTTCCTCTATGGTATTATTCACTGTAAATATTTATTGGGGTTTCATTTTTAGATGTTGTTATTATTATTCCCCATCCCCGATAGACAAATTATACATATATGACCTCTTTAGACTACATAGACTCTTTCAGCTATTATGGTGGCTGTAGTAAGTATGATAAGTAAGAATGTGTTTTGGTTTAATGAATACTGTGGTATTTTGAGGTCAGTAATCATGTCTAGCTAGCTAAGATGAGATGGATTGAAGACCAGCCTTCCCCTATCCCCCCTTTTGGCCTTGTGTCACATTTTTGTATTATATCAAAATAAATATTACTTTCCTTTAAGGTACCTAGACTCTATAAATTTAAGCGCTGTATTTGATTTCTGTAAGGTCTCATCATTTTACAATTGAAATTACCATTTTATGTTTTATGCTGAAAGTTTCTTCTGTCACACTTCTCTTCCAGCTTCTTGTTTTCCAGTTGTCTTTTATCTTTGTTATAGACAAACGTATGGTTGCAAGAAAGAAATACGACAACAGCAGAAATAGATTTACGTGGTTTATTTCAACAGGAACGTGAGGGTTTAGGACATCTACCTTGTGGTAAAGTTCATAAGCCGACTTCGGATCTAGGTCAATCTCTCATAGTAGTTCACACATGTTGACGGTGGTTGATGCTCTCCTGCTGCTGATCGCTCGGCATGACTGTGATGGTCTGTTTTGCGGCCACCTGTGGACTGACCGTTGAACTTCTGTGTGACCCCTTTTATAGCGTTTTTTTATAGCTTAACAGGCTCAAGAAACGAAGCGAGTATAATTAGGAGGGAAGCATTTTTATTGGACGAAAAATAGAGCACTTTAAATATATTATTTTTCGACCGGAACACGTGTGTCAGGAACATTTGTAAAGAAAGATAATGGTCATTTTGTGACGGGGCTTTGGCCCGTTCACATCCGGTTCTCGCTCTTGAGTATTTGCCTGTAAATCACCCGAGATATGTCTTATCTTATTTTATAACATCTTCAAAAATTTTAATGCAATGTCAATCATTAACTTGACTTCTTAATTCCTGCTCTTTTAACATTTTTCTATATTTCTGAGATGAGGTATTGTAAGTATTTACATTGTTCAGACTGTTGTCCTCATCTTTATTGTCACGTTCACGACATTTCGACCGTTGTAAGCTCCCGCCTTCCTCAAGTGATATATGTTAGAATTTTGAACTAAACCCTTTATTTTGTTCATGGGGGTAATTTGTTCTCTGTTTCAGTTATTTTCATTTAGTAACTCTACTCTCCAAATTTTTGTTCCCCACTGCTGTGGCCAAGTATTGAACTCAAGTCACTGGATTATTTCAACCAATGCCTTTATCCACTCAGCCATGTATCCACATCTCTTAATCTTTTATTGTTCTCTTTCCTTAATAATGTTTCTTTTTCTCATATTCTCTCACACTCAGTTTTCTCTACGATACCTAGCCTCTATAAGCGCTATATTTGATTGCTGTAAGGCTTCATTACTTTACAACTCTTAGTGGCTTAATTGCCTTGCTTGGAGTGAAAATGATTAAAACAAAAGACTTGCATGCATTTCCTTTTATTTTCAGCCTTGATGGAGGCCAGTCATATGAACGTCTTTAAACATTGAAGATCGTATTGCTCATAATGTTTTGTTTTTACTTCCTTAAATAAATATTATTCTATTATTTTTCTAGGTCAGTGCCATTCAACATGTGGCTTAGATGAGATGGAAACTTTGGAAGTCAACTGGATCTTGTGGCAATCTATAGAGAAATGTCAAGACCACTGGCGGTCAACACTATATGGCATAAACTCATTTACAAAATATGAACAGGCAGCTGGTAAGATTTCTCTAACATCATTCCGCTCTTTGAGGATGGCTTCTGAAAGCCAAATGTATTCAGACATTGGACAATATATATTTAAACTTTTACTGGAGACCAAGAAAATGTTCCAAAACCTATGCAGTTTTATTTTAATTTTTATAAATAATGCTAGATCTTACACTAGGTATCAATAAGTTAATGGTGAAAGGGAGAGGTGGAGAGAGAATGAGAGTAAAAGGAGAGATAGAGAGAAGGAGAGTGAAAGAGAGTGGCACATGCAGGCAAGATTTCACATAGATTTTACAGTAGGCATTAATGGGGAAAGAGAAGGAGATATATGGAGAGAAAAAGGAGAGGGGAAAGAATGAAATAGGAAAGAGTGTGAAAAAGAGAGGGGAACACAGGAATGAGAGGGAGACATGGAGATAGAGAGGAAAAGGTGAGAGAAAGAATGAAATAGAGAGGGGCACGCAGGAACAAGAGGGAGATATATGGAGATAGAGCAAGAATGAAATTGAGAGGAAAGAGTGTGAAAGAGAGAGGGGGAGATGTATGGAGAAAGAGAGGTAAAGGAGAGGGAAAGAATGAAACAAAGAGGAAAGCGAGAAAGAGTGTGAAAGAGAAAGGGACACACAGGCAAGATTTCACATAGATTTTACAGTAGGCATTAATGTGTTTGATTAATGGGAAAAGAGAGAAAGCGAAGAAAAGGAAAGGAAGAGAGTAAAATAGAAAGAGGTGAGTGAAAGAGAAGCATACAGATAAGGTTTTACTATAGGTATTAATGGGTTTGGTTAATGGTGAAAGAGAGGAAGATATACAGGCAAGATTTCGCATTGATTTTACAGTGATAGGTTAACTTTTACACAAAGTGTCAGAAGTTCACCTATCACCTTTGTCACACTCTTCTCTAGTTTTTGGGACAAGGCTAGAGGTTTATCCCTTGTTTCCTATTTAGGATTGATTTTCTGGCTCCTTTTAAATTCTACTTCAACTATATACATCTATCATCTCCATTTAAAGTCCATTTTTTTATTATTTATTTTCCTCAATAGGAGTAGATAGTTTCGCCTATCACCCTGGTCACACTTCTCTTCACTCTTTTGAACAGGAGTAGAGGTTTATCACTTATTTTCTGTTTAAGATTCGTTTTCGGGTTTCTTCTAAAATCTTCTCATTCTTTTTCATTCTTAGTAACCACTTGCGTCTTAGTAGTATTATTGCCTTGCTTGGGATGAAATGATTAAAACACACACACATACACACAAACTTGTATTCTACTGAGGTTATACACCACCACATAAATTTGATGATATTTTTCTTTAAATGAATGTTTTGAAAGTTTTTAGAAGTGGATGCAGAATTAGTGAATACTAAACTCTTCAGATACCTCAGCGTAGGGATAAGCTATAATAAATTAAGTATAGGAGAAAAAGAAATTGAATATACACCCTTGTGCAAATTAATTGAAACAACTGCTTTAGTTTCCTTTCTTTCATCATATGGTCAGTTTTAGACCCACTGGAGTAACAGGGTGTAATCGATTTCTATTTTTTCCTCAGATTAGGTCATTTACAATGGTGTACAGTAATATAAATCTATTTTCAGGGTGTATGATGAAATGTGTTTAGCTTTGAAAAATATTGTGTCATCCATGATTGCATCAGATTTTCATCACACCCAGACACTATTGTCTGAACTGTCGATAAGTTGTCCTATGGCTATTGTCTACAATGGACCTTACTCCAAGGTGTACAAAAATTGTAATGCTGCATGAAAACAATGGCAAGCTTTACCAGTGAGCATATCAAAGTACTATCGACTGGCTCGGAAACTCTCCTGATTTAAATCCAATTGAGAATCTGTGGACAATCTGCAAGAAACAACTTTGTGGAATGGACATACGAAGTACTAACATGTGTGCTGGGTCATGTTTCATTGGAAAAATAAAAAAAAAACAGTAAATAATAACGGAATTATTTGTTTCGTTTCAATTAATTTGCACAAGGGTGTAGAACAGTTTTGCACAACACCACAAATTGCTGCAAAACTGAAATATCAACCAGAAAACTCGAGTCATGTTCTTAAATAGCCTTGTCATTTCGAGACTTTCATAAGAACGTTATGCATGGCGCCAAACTCGCTCAGCAATATCTAAATTGTCAGCTGTATACAACCGCTTCCTAAGATCAATGGTGAAAAAAGGTTTTGCATGAATAAATACTGAGGGTTTTGGAAAAGGTCATCCTTCCTTGGATATTGTGGAATTACACAATACATAATCACAAAGAATTGTACCAAATAACAAAAATCACATCACTTTAAGACTACCAACAGCAGCAACAATTAAAATGGATAGCACATGCAACTCAAAGGGAAAATAATTACATAATCAAGATGGTGACATTTTCACATTACTTTAAATAGAAGTTTAGAAAGGAAACTTTCATCAGTGGCGGAAAGAGCAATAACAGCTACAAAAACATGTTTTCCAAAAAAAATTTTTTAAGAGAAAGATTTTATAAATCTCAACTTATAAAGTACTGGCTGCTCAGTCAATGAACAACAAATGTTTCCTTATAGGCAAATGGATCATATGACTAGTACCATTGTATGCATACAAACTTTTATTTTTATATATTAAATAAAACTTCTGTGTGTCTGACCACTGTGTCGTGATTAGAAAGCTTTTCTTATAGATTATCACTGCTGTAGTGGCTATATTCCCCATGAGAGAGTTTGATTCAAACAGGGTACTCCATGTGACAAGTTTTGACATGTAAATATAACCATTATACTTGTGGCCTTGTGCCCAACCAATGCATAAAGGATTTTGCTCTGGTGATTATCTCGTACTGTAAACACTTGACTGACAAGGTTAAGACTAGAGTTGCCAACTCTCTAAAATTAAAATATTTGGAACGAAGTGTTTTCCCAAATAAGGGGACACAGACCCTGTGGGCTGGTTCTCAATCATGGGGTGGGGTCTAAAGACACCCTTTTGTGACAGGTTCCCAACCAGGAGTCCATGGACCCACAAATCATTTTGTTATTTTTGAATGATAGGAATTTATATGTAACAGATTATAATTCAAAAATTTTATACAGTTAGTGCAAAATAACAGTTCCATTAGAATTTTAGAGTGAAACAGAACTGTATCTTAAGAACAGCAATAGAAACAGTAAGACAGTGTTTTCATTAGTCATTGTATTTCAGTGTGTAAGAGAAAGAGAGAGGAGAATAGAGAAAGTGAAGAGGAGAAGGATGGTGAAAAAGAGAGGGGGAAAAACAAAGAAAGAGGTGGAGAGTGAAAAAGGAAAAGGTGAGTGAAAGAGAGAGGAAAAGGGAGATAAAGTGTGAAAGAGAATGAGAGGAGGAGAGAAAGTAAGAGGAGAAATGAAAGAGGGGTGAAAGAAAGTGGGAGATGTAGAGAGAAAGAGAAAAGAAGAATGAGTGAGAGAGAGAAGCAGAAAGAGAGGAGAAAGATGGAAAGAGAGAGAAACTGAAAGTGAGAGAAGGGAGAGGAAAAGAGAGGAAGAAAGTAAGAGAGAGGGGTGGAGAGAGAGAGAGGGGAGAAGTATAGTAAGAGATTGAGAGTGGGGAGAGATATAAGGATAGTGAAAGAGAGAGGGTCATGCAGGAAAGATTTTGCACATATTTCATCTGTTCATGTTGATTAAATACATCTTTAAAAATAAATGAAATTTATGCTTAATTTTTAAAAACAATCATCAATTTTCAAAATGTGTGACAAAAACATGTCCTGCATTAACTGGTGTAAGACAGTCTTACAGGATGTTTGGCAACCCTTCTTCTTTAAGTATCATGTCTCTTCAGGACATATGATATAAGACAGTCTCACAGGATGGTTGGCAACCCTTCTTCTTTAAGTACCATGTTTCTTCAGGACATAGGCAACCATAACTTGCTGCTATTTCCTGATCTACATAGCTCTTAATAAACTTTGTCTTTTTACTCAAGCTTGTTAGTTAGGCTATGCATTGTTTTCCTCTGTCTCTCTTGCTTTCAATCTATCTTGTGAGTATCACATTTTCCAAGCTCCCTTTCCTCATTATGTACCATAGAAATTTCAACTGTCTCTTTCTACTGTTAAGTATAAATGTCCTTTTTGTTTCTATTTTCTCTAAAACTTCATTGTTGCTCATATGTTATGTATGGCATTCTCAGCATCCTTCTGTAGAATCCCATTTCTGTGGCTTCAAGTTTCTTCTTCATCTGTGAGAAGATTGTTCAGCGTTCACTGATATTATGTTACAGTTCAGTACTCTTTGTTTCTAACAAAATTTTTCTGTTTTTTTAATACTTTGCTTAGCTTTTGGAAGGCATCATTCATTAGGCCAATATGCCTTTGGTTTCCAATGTTGAACTTTCCATCCTCTGCTAAAAAAACTTCCCAGATATTTAAATTGTGCTTTGTTTGATTTGAGTCTATTGCAATATGAAAGGATTTTTGAAAAAAAATAAATGTTTTATCTTTGACAAAAAACGTTTATTTTTTTGTACAACACCGCCAAATCTTATAGCAATTTTCTCTTTCTACCAAAGACTTTCTTGCATGGACTAATTTTGGAAGATCAGAGACCAATGGCCAGTAAGTTTTCTTGTCTGTGTTTATACTGCAATTAAACTCTCATCCTACAATCTGTTTTCAGGTCCACGCAAGATGGAGAATACACACTTCCCAAATCGAGCAGGGGAAGATATTGAAGAGGAGGAGCCAACTTCCGCATCCAGCCACAGCATTCACGGTCGGCACCTTGCCATCGTCAGCACATATACTTTGTTACTTACTGTCTCTTCAACATTGCTGGTTTATTTACCATTTGTTTTATGAACCTCCACAATTCTCTACCACCACCACCACCACCGCCACAATTATATATCTGCTTGTCCTGTTTCCCTCCTGACCCCCTGGGGCCCCTACAAACTCCTGCCACTTCCAATCAGCAACAAGGACAGAACAGGTCTTGTTGTTAACCTAGAAAGGACATTGTCAGCCAATTCTGTATCTCTGCCAGCAGAAACAGGGGTGTGGTAGGATAGCCTGAGGGATTTGGCGAGGAAACATGGCAGAGAAAGAAGAAAGAAAGAAAAAAAAAAAATGGACTGAGGAGGGTGGTCCAGGACTTGACCAATTGTCTGACCGGCTAACTGAGCAAATATCTGACCAGACCAACTGGATATACTACGTGTCCAAAAATTTGAAAAAAAAAAAATTTTTTTTTTTGTTGTTTTACCAGAGTTCTATTTCTTTGGAGAAAAAAAAAAAAAAATGGTCCCCCTCTTGTTGTTACCCCCCTCTAAACTGTACTCCCTGACTCCTCCCCCCAAAAAGATTTAAAAGAAATGAAAAAAAAAAAGGTCCCCAAACCCTGAAATTAAGTCTATTCCCCTCTTCTAAAATTCTACCCAATCAGATTTGATCTGACCCTACTTTGTTCTGTTACTGTAGTGTCTGTATGTGTGTGCATATGTGCGATAATGTGATTTCAACCCAAGTCTGTGTGTCCCATCAGGTAATGAGTTTTGCAGTGTTTTCCACCTGGTTCGTTAGTATGGCAGCCCAGTGTACAGATCTTGTGTCTTTACAACTCAATTTTAAATTCTTCACCACATACATATATATAATTACTATAGATATTATTATTAATAAATAAAATATTCATTGATAATAATCAGTAGTCTTGGTATCTATGTGAGCACATTACATAATTTTATATATATCAATAAATATCATTATTATTATTTAGCGCACACGCACACACACACGCACACACATATATATATATATATATATGATAAAAAATAATACAAAATACAAAAACTGACAATTATACACAACAATTTATCAAATGCATTAGTTATACATAGAAATAAATTCAATCACAATTTTGATCTGAAGAATACCACACTTATTAAAAGAAAAAGCAACTGACTGAGACGGAAAATTCTCAAGAGTGCCACTATAGAATCTTACCAAAATGTAAATCTACACCCCAGATTTTTTTCAAATATCTCCATTCCTGAAAGAATTACTCCTTTCCCAAGCCAACATACATGACTATAAAATTCTAAAGGAATCAAAAGAAAACTATTAAATCCATAATCTATTACTTAAAAAATAAATAATACATAAATTTAACCTATACTAAAATAATTTAAATATTAATTGCATAAAAGAAAAATTCAACAACATTTACTCAGTTTTGTTTATGAGACATTGATTATGTCACTTAGCATCTTCCATAATTTACCTAGACTTTTCAGTTAACCTGATGAATATTTATGAGCATTTCTGAGATTTAAAGATTCTGAAAATCTAACATTTTTACTTTTTGTTCATGAATATTTGTTGCAAAATAAAATCCTTACATTTGCCTTGATAAAGCCCATCAGTAGATGAAACATATCGGCTAAGATAAGTTTTCCTTTTGTCTTTATTCATACATACACACACACATATATACATATATATATATATATATATATATATATATATATATATATATATATATATTGAAGACAATTCCGAAAATTTCTATGTTGATATGTTTCACTAATGAATTGGTGTCATCAGAAAAAAGAATTTTATTTGACCTGAGCATAATCTAAATTTACAAGACAAAATAGTTGGACACTTGATTACAATGATGTTCCCCATGTACAAGTCCCAAGAGCCACTCGAGATAGAGGGATAACATAAGAAATGATTAAAATGGTACAACAGTTAATGAGCTTATAAAAGTTTGTTAGAGGGACTACGTCGAGTTCTCATGGTTGCCCAGCTATTGTAACCTTGTGTCAGACTAGACTAAACTTAGTAAACAACTCTATGATACCAGTTCATGTGTGATGTAAAAATAAAGATGCCCACATTATTTCTCTGCTGCCACCATCATCATCTTAAAGATGTTTCTGGAAAAATATACAATTACAAGAAGTTCATGGGTGGGGGTTGTAGAAGAAATCTCAGGATTCCAGAACCTTCCTTAAAGAATTTCATTGCTTGCTTCTCAGATGTCATCTTGGAAGAAATCACTTAACACTTTGATGAATCAGAAACATATTACTTGTCATCTTGTCTCAACAAAATCTAGTTTCTTATGCAATTAAATCTTTAGTCTTCTCATATTTAGGTGATTCATAAATGACACATGAAAGATGCTCTAAACTATACCTTATTTATGTTCATGTCAACAAAAATGGTCCCCTAATTGGTTGACACAGGCCAAATTTTCTTTCTTCTTAACCTTAATAAAAAGAGAAATCTCAAGCAGTTCCTAATTTAAATGTGTTCATTTAGTTATGTAGCAATATAAACTTAATATAGATTATATATAATTTATGTTTACTGTTACCTTGTCAGAATGCCAAATTTGCTACAGTCTTTTTCTTGTAGTCATAAATACCCCAACCTACCCTACATGAATAATCACAGTCGAAATTGTAGAGTTCGCAATCATGCCATGCTGTTAATTGTGAATTCTTTACTCCTTTTCATGGCTGTATAGTATGTTTTTCATCAGGACTAGATATGGATTTGAATTCAGGGTTGTTCTTCTCCTAGACTGGTTGTCAACCATGGCTAGAGATCCCACTCTACCCTGAAGATTTGTCCACATCTTGATGTTGTCAGAGACGTTATACAATTGCCCCTTTCAAGAAATACAAATTTAAATTATAGTTTAGAATGGCAAATCAGTCTTTGCTGAACTTGGGAAAGTTTTAGTAGAATTGCATTTTGTTTTATTTTTTTAAATCATTTCACCCCAAGCAAGGCAATAAAGCCACTAAGATGCAAGGAGTTACAGGTGTTAGAGAATATCAGAAAAAATACTATTAAGGAGAGAAAACAAAGAACAGGAATTAAGAAGACAGAAAATAAACATTGTCATTGCACTTAAATTTTTGAAGATCAAAGTTGACTGAGAAACAGCCAGAAGAGAGTTCCACAAGTGAGAAGTGTGATAGAAGAAACTGTTAGCATAGAACCTACCATTACATCTAGCAGCCATTTCAACTGTAGAATGATGAGACCTAGTTGCCAATCTAGTACTGCATTTAAATTCATAAAGTCTAGGGACCATAGAGGAAAGTTCTTCAGAACAATTACCATGAAGGTAGATGCAGAAAAAGCAGAGGGAAGCTACATTACAGTGGTGGGAAAGTGACAGAAGTCGAGATGCCAGATCAGGACCAATAACATTGAGGATTCAAGGGATTTTTTCAGGAATCTCTAAATATATAGGAGGAGCACTGGACCATATGTGACAACACTGGCTCAACTATTGAATATTGCTAACTCAGTCTTTATTATTATTATTTCATTTTAATCAGTCAAAGATTGACAGCGAAAATAACTAAAATGCTAAAAATGACAATATAACAATGGTTGAAACAATTTTGTAGCCAATATATTCCTAAAAATGACAGGAAATAATTTTCATTGTCTCTTTTACATATAATGACAGTAACAGCAAAAATTTATTTTGATTATATACAGTATTCACCCAATGCAAGTACCAAGAGCCACTCAAGGGAGATGATTACTGAATAAAGTTGTTATAAGGACATAAGAGGAAGAAGTAAGTGCAGTTTATAAGGATATGTAGGATAGATAATGGTCGACCTTAGACTTAAAGAGGCTAACATTGTAGTGATTGGGGTAGCATCCTCTTGGAAATCTGTTCCACAAAGTAGTGATTTTTATGAAGAAGCTGTCTGAGTGGAACTTCCTCCTTACAAATGGAATGCAAAGAGAATGAAAATGATTTGATCCTGTGTACTTGGCATGGTGAGTCTTAGCAGTATTTGATATTTGATCAGAACATAGCAAAACTGAATTATGGGTCCAGAAAAAGAAGAAAAAAGTACCTATTTTTTTTTTAATTATTTCACCCCAAGCAAGACAATAAAGCCACTAAGATGCAAGAGGTTACTGAGTTAAAGAATACGAGAAAAAACTGCTATTAAGAAAAGAGGACAATAAAAGAATAAGCATTAAGACAAAGGATAAGGATTGACATTGCATTTAAAGTTTTCAGAATCAAATTTTGTGAATATTTAACATTTCTCATATCATTTTATGATAGTAAAGTTATAATAAAACAAAATCTATTAATAATATTTGAATACATTTCTAGAATAATAATATAAAATTTCTAGAATTTCTTCTTTTAGCCAGAATGAATTTATTATTATTCAAAATCTGGCTAATATCCTCATTTTTGTTGTTACTATCACAACGTTTTGGACATTGTCTTCCCCAGCCTCTTTCAGGTGTTTATTGGTCTAGGTAATTTTCAGAAAATTTCAAACTGAACTCTTTATTTAATTTACAGGGGTGGATTGTTCGCATTCCGCTTTCCATATCTAGGGATAGCTCCTCTTTTTTTTTTTAGTACTACTCAGTTATTGTTTCCTTTGAGTCTGGGCACGTACTATTTGGCCCACGGATTGAACTCACAATTACGATCCAATCAAAGTAGCTATTAGTTTTATTATATTAGAATAATTGTTGATACTCGTTCATAGTTGAAATTAAAATTTGTTTATCTATATAATACCAACAATTTGATTTTGTAACGTCGAAGTAGACAAAATGCTGAATTATAGCCAGAAATATTAAATTAAGGTTTCTCCTAAAATTTACTAATTTCATTAAAAAAATCTGGGTGATTTGTGACTGAACAACATATTGTAATATGCTATTTATTCAAGGGGAGATAAATGCTAACTATAGAGTACTCTCCCTTGTTTGTTTAT